TGTTTCGGTGAAAGACTTCTCCTTTTGGCTACAGAAGCATATACGGGACCATCAACTGTCGAGGTGGAGAGACAACTTATAGGGTTTTTCGTTGATGGACTGAAAGAAAATTATCTAAAGTTAAGAATCATGAGAGAGAACCCGACAACTCTCCAGGAAGCGGTTACATCCGCCATGACTGAGCAGAACTTGAGGAAAAGATTTCAACTAAGAACGGGAAATAATGCCTCGACACATGCCTCCACGTCAAATTCAGAACCCATGGAAGTCGATCACTTCCGCCAAAAAAGATGTTATAACTGTAAAAAATTAGGCCACGTTAGTAAAAATTGTAGGGCACGACAAGTCAATGCTGTCGACAATAGTAAACCAAGCGTTAAATGTTGGAACTGTGGAGCGTTTGGCCACATAAGTAGAAATTGTAAAAAACCAAATTTTAATAATAGACAGGGAAACTAAAGAACTCTTCTTGTATTACAGCCGACAAGAAGAGTGACAAAAATTCACTAAAACAAAATATACAATCTTTTCAAATAAATTTGGCAGGTAATCCAAGCTCATGTGTCATCAAATTAGAAAAACAAACTTTTAGATCCTTGGTTGACACTGGCGCGGAAGTTTCATTGATGCACAGTCGAGTGTATAAAAATTTAAAATTTAAACCTCAACTAAAGAAAGAGAAAATAGCTTTATTTTCAGTTAACAACAAACAAATTGACATGGACGGCAGTGCTACATTTGATTTTAAATTGGGGGGTAAAAAGGTGTCACATAAATTTTATGTTGTGTCATCTATGAATAGAAATATAATTCTTGGTAAGGACTTCTTAACAGAAAAAAAAATAAGGCTGTATTTCGATTTAAAAAGTTTGAGATACGAGGGTACTTATATTCCCCTCGAGGAGGACATTCACGTAAGTTCATTGCTGAGGTTATCGGCAGAACTGGTAGTGAAGCCTCAAACATATAATATAGGTACGGCGAAAATAAAAGGTGATAATCCGACGTCTAGTACACTCCTTATAGAGAGTTATGATAAGGTGTTTATTGGAGGACAACCAGGGTTAATGGTTGTGAACTCCATTGTACCAGTTAACAATGACAATGAGGTCAATACACGAGTACCTGTTGCCATTGTTAACGAATCTAATAAGACTATTAGATTGAAAAGAGGGTGTATTGTAGGAATGGCCCAAACAATAGACAATGGACAGATTTGTTCAATAGAGTCGACAAAGACTAGTGGACAAAACGATAACAATGACGATTTGTTTAAAGACTTAGACTGTGACCCCAGACATAAGGACAGACTATCAAAATTCTTGACCGGACATAAAGACATTTTTGCCTCGAGCGATATTGAACTAGGTCAAACAGACACTGTTGAAATGACTATTGACGTAGGCTCGAATGATCCCATTAAACTTAGGCCATATAGAACTCCTCTGAATAAAAGGGATACTGTAGGAAAAACGATAGATGAGATGTTGGATGCTGGGATCATCCGACGATCCTGCTCACCTTACAGTTTCCCTGTAGTGATCGTGGATAAAAAAGACGGTTCGAAACGTTTCTGTGTCGACTATAGGGCCTTGAATAAAATCATAAAAACTAACTCTTACCCACTTCCTTTAATCGACGATGTATTAGCATTACTCAATTCTGCAAAAATGTTCTCCACGCTTGACTTGAGAGCTGGATTCTGGCAAATTAAGGTTAATGAGGAAGATAAAGAAAAAACAGCCTTTGTCTGCCACAAAGGACTCTACGAATTTAACGTCATGCCATTCGTAATATACAACAGTCCAGGAATTTTCCAACAGCTTATGTCCATAGTACTTGATGGACTAGACAAATTCGCAGTCGCCTATCTTGACGACATTTTAATATTTTCTAAATCACCAGAAGAACATTTAAAACATTTAGATATAGTTTTCACCAGATTAAGAGACCACAATCTGCGACTAAAACTCAAAAAATGCGCGTTCATGAAAGAAGAAACTAAATATCTTGGATTCAAAATTACAACGGAAGGTCTAATGGCAGACCCAGATAAAGTATTGGCTATACGTGGAATGTCAGCTCCGACATCGGTTAAGGAAGTGAGGTCGTTCATAGGAGCAATGTCGTATTATCGGCGTATTATACCGAATATGTCTAAAATTGCTGAACCGCTTATAGATTTGACCAAAAAGTATGCAAAATTCAAGTGGACCAATGAATGTCAAAAGGCCTTTGATTATCTTAAGGACAGTTTAACGACAGTACCCATGTTAGGATATCCCAATGCTGACCTGCCATATGTACTCTACACTGACGCAAGTGACACTTGTATAGGAGCATGCCTAACACAAGTTATAGACGATGTAGAAGTGCCGATATATTTTCTAAGCCACCGATTAGGGAAGACTCAATGTAAGTGGGCAGTGTGTGAGAAAGAAGCTTACGCAATTTCTTATAGTCTCCAAAAACTAGACTATTATCTCCACAATGCTCAGTTCGTAATTAGGACTGACCATAAACCACTTAAGTATCTTCTCGAATCACCAATGCAGAACAAAAAGTTACAACTTTGGGCACTGAATATATCCGGTTATAACTGCAAAATTGAGTACATACCTGGCGAGACAAATACAGTAGCGGATATGTTATCACGCATACCAAGTGACTCGACGGACATAGGACAAATTATCAAACGACATTGGACGTACGTTATGAACAGTAAACAATATTAATATTTCTTATCATATTCTTTTATTCTATTATTATTTTGTATTGTATTTCTTTGTATGGGTTTGGCTATATTAGACGGTGACGAGAAGACTTTAGTCAGTACGTTCGAGGATACCGAGCTGCTCGTAGACGTCTGATATTGCCAACCGCCATACAGCTATATTAGATTGGAATAAACAAGTTTAAGCATCACAAGTACTTTACTTTATCGGAAACAACACAACGTGAAAACCTAGACGAAGTCTTACAATCGTAATTGGAGTTGGTTGGATCACTAGTTTAGAGAGGTTCAGTCGAGACAACTGGGAAAGGAAGAAATTTCACTCACATGAAACCAAGAACGTTGAGTTCTCATTTGGGAGTAAAATCAATTCTTCATTTTGCTACGTTTGAATATGGAAGGAATTGATATGTGTGGAAGTAGATGAATTCCTTGCAGAATTGGTGATGGGGATAAGGGATTTGACACGAATATATTAGATTCACATATTAGATATCATGAGAAACATGTGAGTATTTATAAACAGTTGAAGAAAAAATTGTTAAGAGGGAATGCAAAGTGCCAAAGCTTACCATCAAAAAATTATTTTAAACTTTCTAATAAACACAAAAATATTGTTTTCGAACAAAAACGTCCCTCTGACGTTTGGTTTAAAAAACTAAAAACTTTCTTTTATGTGATGTGAACATTGTTACAGAAATAAAGAATTAGACAATAATATTGATAATAATTTTTGAAAGAAGTAATCGTAAACTGTGACAAATTCCTTCAACAAGATTATTCACATTCAATTAAATCTTATGTAACATTTGGACGTCGGTTGCAAAAACTTTATTGAGTTGGACTACAAAATTGAGAAGACTTGTCAAACTCTGTGACAGTTATACAAAATTTCAAAATTTATCACTTCAAATTTTAAAATTTGTTGGAATGATTTCAAAAGTTGAACATGGTTTAAGAAATAATCCCGAGGAGGAAATATTTTGGAAATAAGGTGATTAATTTTTAATGAATCATTGAATCAATACAAAATCGTTGGGTGAAACCAACACGGGCACAATGGTTTGTCATACTATAGCTAACACACGGTGTGAACTAAAGCATAAGATGTGTAATAGTACTTACAATTGTAGTAGAACGAAATACACTTAACCTATTCTTGATTGTGGTCTAATGGATTTCTATCAGAAAGTAATCTGTCCTTCCTGACGTATTTGTGCTCTATGTGTAAAATTCGATAAGCTGTCCAGATTATTATGCTGTGTTTATATGTCCTGTGAGGACATAAATTACATCATGTGTGAGACGAAGACTGATTCTATTATCGTAATTGGAGTTGGTTGAAACACTAATTTAGAGAGGTCCAATCGAGACAACTGGGAAAGGAAGAAATTTTCACTCACATGAAACCAAGAACGTTGAGTTCTCATTTGGGAGTAATATCAATGGAGAACACAATGAAAAATCCGAAAACTACTTGTGAAAGTCGGCATTGATGTCCCCTTCACCTCCTAAGGGATCAAGTTGTTACTCCTATTGCAGATTTTAGTTGCACTATAGTTTTTTTTAATTCTTTTTTAACAGAATGTTTCTTTCAGGGGAATTGAGACAAAATCTCTACTGGAAAAGATATAAAACCCTTTCAGGTTTAACATAATTACAGCTTTGAGTTGAGCTCTGCATTGTTTTCTTTATTTATATATTTTTTTTTGGACACTTGTCACAGACATAACGTATTCTGGACTAGAGACTGTTTTCGATAGGCCAACAATATATCATATTCAAGATGTAGAAATAAGATAATGTTAACCCTGGATATTTGACCTATAGAAGATGTGTATGGATGTATACTGATTTAGAGAATATATTAAGCTATCATTGTGTTTCTGATTTTTTTATTATAAGTATCTGGTAGTTCGAAGTTGGAGATACACCGCCCGTCATACCTCTAACCATAAGGTTTCATTTGATTCACACCTGACCTATCTATAGGTACCTCATGAAAATGTGGTCTTCGTTCTTGAGTGGGACAAAATAGCACAGGGGTAATTAGACACCAGAGAATTAACAAGGTCTATCTGACATTTCAATCAAAAATCATTTTCTTCCAATTAAAGACTTACAAATTAACTAGGTATATCTTCAGTACTGCATTATAACTGTATCTGTATGTAAAGTAGGTCAAGGCCAATTCTACAAAGGTCTATTTATATTAGATTTCAAAATTAACAAGGTCTATCTGAAAGTCACATGGCATATAGAAAAAATGGCTGCAAGGAAGCACATGGATGAAAGAGAAATACAGGAAATATTTGCATGGTAAGTTGATTCGGTCAAATTGTCATCTAAATTTATTCAGAAAAGTTCGTAGAACAAACTGATGATTGTAGCCCATATAAATCTTGAGATTTTAGGTCTTTAAGACCATTCTTTGTTTTTCCTACAGATAGACCCAGTTAATACTAACAGCTGGTGCTAACAACATTGGACATACACCCTTCTTCAGGCAAAGTATTGCTTTATAGGCTAACCTTGAACACAATACATCTGAAAGTTAAGCATTCTTGTCCTTTTTCTTCAGTTCAGCTGATGAAAATGATTCAACTGATGGAGATGATTCGACTGCAGATGCAGATTACGATCCAAAAAAGGTTGCTGACAGCAGCAGCAGCTGTGACGAAGGTTCGGCTAATACTCGCAAAGATCAAATACGTACTGGTAAGTAAAGCAGGATGCGATGCTTTCTCTTCAAACTAATTTGCATAATGGATCATCCCTGGTCTATCCCCTGGGATGCCCTGCGTCCCATATATGGAACACCCATTTGGTACCTCTATGAAATAGAAGTGTGTTAAAATTCGAGTCCCATATATGACCAAAGAACAACAAACTCGTGGTGACATCTTGTGGCTGACTGTGATATAAAGATGGCAGCCTCCATGGAAGAGTGAAAAGACAAATGAGATTCAGACGGATTGCGAAAATTCTGCATCGAATCAGGTAATTACATTACTTTTTTACCATTATTTTACTAGAACAGATTATAGAGAATAACTAGAGACCTTGTAATCAGGTTTAGCTCATAAAATGTAGTCTGTACAACCTATAATTTAGCAGTGTCCCACAAGTGGTTGTGTCAGCTTGTTTGAACTTATTTTTTTTCTATAAAACTTTCTGTGTTTCTATGGGCTGTAACGGTAAAGATTAGCCTTTTTATACATTCATGGTTTCTATTTTGTATCTTTTCTGTCTTTTTAGTGTATACATGACATCATGGGTTCACGAAAGCAATTGTCTGTCAACCAAGTTTTGGATGCAATTGATGCCAATGATAGTGATTTTGGCAGTGATTATGAATCAGATAATGATGCCTGGGGCAATGATGATGATGGCCATGTTAGTGAGAATGATTTAGGAACAGAATCCGATAGCAAAGATGGTGACTATGTCCAATCCGAAAATAGTGATGATGCAGAATCTGATGAAGGCGATGACAACGTTCCGCTTGCGCAGTTAGCCGGTGTTGCACAAGTAGTACCTCGGAACAGGAATACACAAACTGTTAATTGGGTAAAAAAAACAATTCACCCCTCCTGTTATAAACTTCACTGGTCCAGCAGTAACTACTACATGCACTGATGGTACACTTGGAACGCCACTATGGTATTTCAACCGGTTTATCACTAAGGATATGTTACATTTAACTGTTGAAAAAACAAATCTATATAGTGCACAAAAATTAGGTGCAGACAATTCGGTTAAAACAAATACCAAAGAGCTTGAACTACTCCTAGGATTGTATTGGAGAATGGGTCTAATACAGTTGCGATCTGTCCACATGTATTGGGAAGCTGATGTTCGTATCCCTCTTATCACTGATGTGATGTCGAGAAATAGATTTGAGATCTTACAACGCTATTTGCACTTTGTGGATAATGAATCTGCAACAGATGACATGAAAAAAAAATAAACTTTGGAAGTTACAACCATTTTTTGAGATGTTTCGCCAACAATGTCTTCTCGTTACTCCGGAGCAGCATCAGTCTGTGGACGAGCAAATGATCTCATATAAAGGCAAGTCTAGTGGAATACGTCAATATATCCGTGGAAAGCCTCACCCTTGGGGCTTCAAAATGTGGGCTATGTGCAGCTCTGATGGCCTATTACATGATTTTGAGGTTTACCAAGGCAAAGGTGGTGATCAAAATGAAAAACGGGACGTTACACTTAACTCATATTGTCTTGAAACTATGCCAATCCCTTGCAGCTAACTGTGGTTATTTAGTTTTTGCTGATAATCTTTTCACCTCATTTCAACTTTTGTTGTATTAGAACGTGGAATCTATTATGTTGGTACAGCTAGGGGAAATCGTGTTAGTGGTTGTCCACTCAAAACTGAAAAAGAACTGAAAACTAGAGGTACCTATGATTTTTATGTAGAGAACAGTCTAAATGTAGTATGTTGTCGATGGATGGATACAAAAGCTGTTACTTTGATGTCTAGTTTTGTAGGGCCTGATCCATTAGATAAATGTAAGAGATGGGATAAAACATCCAAAGAACATAAGGAGGTTGATCGCCCATCCATGGTCAAAGAGTATAACGCACATATGGGTGGAGTGGATATGTTGGACGCCCATTTAGCTAGATGTAAATATCGTTATAGAACCAAACGATGGTATACGTTTTGTTTTGTAATTTTGTTAGCATAGCTTGCATCTACGCATGGCTTCTGTATAAGCGTGATGCAAAGCTCCTTGGTGACCCCAGTAAATTGAAAGGTTGAGTTACAGTATTTGCTACATTTGTGTTCTTTTATGGTGGGGGCAGTACAAGTCATATTTGCCCAGTGACCCATATATGGGACATCTCAGAAAATTAGGTCATCACCCCTGGTTACCAAAATTTTGATGGGGATGGACTATTTTCATCTTACTTATGCTGTTCTCAGAGCTACATAATTTTCAGCACATTTTTTGGTAGCTTGGGCATTCCAGGGTTAATTGAGTTGCAGAAGCTTACAAATATCGTAGCATTTTCAAAATGCAATACTAATTAAACCTTCCTTTTTACAGGTGAACCAGCACAAGATCTGCCCGTTGTGAATAAACAATTTCCAGCAACACAAATTGAGGATGGTATTCGTCCAACAGGAGTCACCAGACAGTCCGGAAAGCAGTATATTAATAGTCGTGGGAACATACAGCAAGCAAGATCACTGAAAAACAAAAAAGATTGCACCAAGTGCAAATTCAAGTGCAGTTTACATATAACAGATACCGACCGACTGAAAATCTTTACAGAATTCTGGACTTTAGATGACATTGAAAAGTTATATTTCTTTGGAAAAACTACTGTTCAAGAGGCAACAAAGCAGAACAAAAAGATGGCAAACCAAGTCGTAAATGTAATAGTCTACGCTACGGTTTCTCACTAAATGGTCATTATATTCGTGTCTGTAAAGTGTTCTATTATCTCACCACTTTAGACATAAACCACAAAAGGGTTTCAAAATACCATAGCACAAAATGTAACTTCACTGGAACACCAGTTCATCTAAAATGGGGAGAGGCAGCGAATAATGTTGTCCCACAAGAGGTAAAAGATGGCATCAGGCACAATATTCAGTCTATACCTAAAGTAGAGTCGCACTACTGCCGTGCCAACACAAACAAAGAGTACCTGCCATCTGAATATAATCAATCTCTTCTTTAAGATAAGTATGTTCAGTGATGTAATGAACGTGGTAAAACTCCGGGCAAATCACACCTTTACAGATACATATTCAACTACGAATATAATCTTGGCTTCCATTTACCAAAAAAAGATAGGTGTGATACCTGTGAAATAATAAAGCAAAATAAATCACCTACTGATGAAGAAAAAAAAGCAAACGAAGATCATCAGAGAGGAAAAATAGAAACTAAAAAAGAGACGGGGACAGAAGGGATACTAAAAAATTCGTTGTCTGTTTCGATCTACAGAAAGTGTTTGCCTTGCCCACTGCTGATGTATCGAATTTTTTCTACAGAAGAAAGCTCAATGTCTATCACATGACTGCTCACTGTTCTGTAGATAAAAAAAAGGATACGGTGCAGTATGGCATGAAGGGCAGCACGGAAGGGCAGGGAACGACATTGCCAGTGCAGTCATTAAAGTGCTGCATTACATAACGAAATTTACAGCCCACTGGGCTTGATAAGAATGCTCAAAAATGTGTGTAACCTTGAGGCGATCATTCAGATGAAAGCTGGTGATTTTAAGGATTTTGCTGCTGTTGCGCAACAGGGTACATATAAAAATGTTCCCTTTACTAAACCAAGAGCCTTCTTTATCATACAAACCAACCAAAAGTCTTAAACTTCAAGACTTCATTCACAAATGGCTGGATATCAGTGAATGTGTGTGATCACAGAACAATCAGGGGTGGTATAAGCCAACCACTTTATGATGTTCCTGATCCAGCAGTGTCAAAACCAGTTGATGGTCTTGCATTACCTAAAAAAGCAGACATCAAAGCAATGCTAAAATTTATGCCAGGAATTGACAGGGTATTCATGGCAAATCTTGTTTTGTAGTTCATTTTGTGATGGGTTTTCGCGTAAAATCTTACAGTTTTGTTAATTAGTAAAGACTTTTGCATTTTAAGTGATAGGATTTTCATGTAAAATTTGTTTTGTAGTTTTGTTGAATAGTTCAGAATTTTGCATTTGCATTTCAAATAAATCTGCTTCAGTTCAAAAATGTTTAAGGACGTCTTTTTTTTAATAAACATTAAAGGCAGATACACCTTTGACGAGTTGCAAGTCGCTGGAATGATTTATAATATTATTTCAAATTTAAAACACGAGACATAACGATCACATTTTGCCAACACACTAGCAGTTCCTCTTACTATGCCTAGAAAACACCAGAGTAAAACAACACGGCAATCATTGACAGTAGTCTCAACGAAGGCAGCACTTTCCTTACAGAGTAGTGAGTTACAAGAAAGCAGTGGTCGCATTTTGAATACCTCCTGATATGGGCTTGGTGTTTTTATGTCACCATTATAATTCGTGTGATGGTAAAGAGTAGGCGTGTGTGGCGACTGTCCCCTACATAGGTCTACTAAAAAAGTATTATACTCCCAATTTAATGCGTTACAATGCATTCAGATCTTTAGCTTGCAGTCTATTTCAAAAGGGCAACACGCTCATTACATTACTACAGACCGAGACTATAATATTGCAACTTATCCAATGGAGATCAAACATGTTCGTAATTAATTTTTATATTAAACATAATTTGAGATACAATTTTTCAAATTTAAATTTCCAGCACAAATAGATCGTCACCTTTGTGGATCTCTCAACATTCTGTCCATATATCCACCCAACTGTCGAGTGGCTATACCTCAACTTTTAAAGATGGCGTCCGATTTCTTTAGAATGTGTCTACCAGTTACCTCCCTTGACGTAGACTTTGAAATCTATGACCTACATTCGGATTTATGTATAAAGCATTGCATAAACATTTCTTATTACAATCTATATATTATTATTTATTTGACTATTTAGTACTCCTTGAAATCTATCATTTGAAATTGGAATAAGTCAAATTACCACAAACCTAAAACGATTATAAGGTTTTTTTGATGGAGTAACCTTCCTTGATGTCAAATTCATCGCTGCATTCCAATATTTGGATACACTTGTTAAGGAAAAACAATTGTAACTTGTTTTTTCCCACCTTTTCTTTGGACGAAACTCTTTCCTTTCCGTTGAGGAAATTTTCTTAAAATTGACACAAGAGCTAACACGGTGACCTTTGTTATAACAGAACACACATTTATACTGAGAATTATTTGATACCTGAGCACTTAAGGAAGTAGCATTGTTATTAACCTTTGACCTATTGCTATGAAATCCGTGAACCTTTCTACCATGATTGTTAAAATTAGGTAGCCATAGGATCACAGACAATGTCAGCCTCTTAAACAATGAAATCTTCAAAACCTGAAAGAGGTGGACACTCGTTATATGCTTGTTTATAATCATAGACATTTTTGTACCACCTATTAGACAAATAATCAGGAAGCTTATCTAATATATCTTGAATTTTAGTTGGATCATCATACAACTTAAAAGTACTATAACAATTCCTAGCAGCCATAACTGTCTAAGAAAATCCGCGAAATTACGCAATCCTAAATTATCCCTTGGCTTCATTTTAGACCAATATCTAGCTTCTTTCTAAAATTTTCTGCTATTACAAATTTGTTGCCAAATCGCTCATCTAACAAAGCTTTAGCTTCATTAAAGGCATTTTCATTATCAAGAAAGAAAGACTTTTTTTTATAAAACATCTGCTCTCCTTCGGAAATGTTTTCCTTTCAATCAAAGTACTAAAACTTATTTTCCATGCTGGATATCTTCAAAGGTCCCCTGTGAACACTGTTGGTTCCGATACAGGAAGATTCGTGAAACTCATTTGATCAGCGATAAGTTTCGCCAGCTGTACCATATCAGAAAGTGATGCTGTAACTGGGATGTCCGTTGAGGGAATCCAAAGGCATCTTCATTTGTAGGTGTACTAACATTGATTACTGGTGGTACTGGATTCTTAGGCACCGTCACCGATAATACAGTTGCCTCAGGTTCAAGTGAATTAACATAAGCTTGAACGCGTTCTGCTGTAAATGAAGCAGCTGCTGATTGAAAATTGTCATCTGGATTTTCAGACCCAGCTAAAACCATAACCTGCATCCTTTTTTTCTTTGGACCGTGCGCTTTGATTGACATTTTATTGCCACGAGAATAGATTGCATAATCTATTAGAACACTTAAAAGTATAGACTTATTTAGTCAGGTGGATCACTCGACAATACATGGATCTATACATCAATTATTTGCGCAACCTTCTCTTTGTGGTTGTGGCTTTTTTAAAAAGAAGCCGGCCTCTATTTTAAATATTTTGTTTGTTTTTAATACCACCATGTGGTGTATTACCTGTGATATTGTTTTTAGTGTTTTTTTTTTTGTCTTAGTTTTTTCATTATATTAACGTATTCTGGAGCTATATAGCCCGTTTGGTGCTGATGCTCCTTAATGCATTTCATTTCCCCTTTTGGAAACATTATCAACTTTCAAACGATGCCTGGCACATTTGACCACAAAATCTGATTAAAGAATCGGATATCAACTTGAAGTTGGGTCAAATAAACTAATGAAATATCTTACCAAGAATTATGTCTCCAATGGTATCATCTTCAGAGTCCTGCCTTTCATCCATAGTATCTGAAATTGTACATGAAATGTTATCAAACATATTTATGGAACTACTTAATACTCTTACTATATTTATAAGAATTGAAATCAACCTCAAAATAGTTCTGAATTGTCTTGATCAAAATTCCAACCATTTGTCAAAAAAAAAAATCAGGACATTATATGACTTAACAGTTAGCCTACAGTTACAGAGGGGAATTTTCCATCTGAGATATGGGTCAATTTCACAAGAAATTTCTTAGAGAAAGAGTAAAGACTCACAGTAGGCCTATTTATTTCAAATGTTTTTGTGACAATTTGATCAGATTACTAAATTAATAACCATTTAATCTTCCAATTGTTTCTCCGTCACACGTCAGTCAACACGTCAAACGTCGATGCTACCTTATAAAATCAAGAATCATATTATTTTTAGTACTGCTGGACAAAGATCTCCCAATTCTTACCATTCTTCTTGGTTTTGGTTCGGAATGAGTCGGAATATTTTCGTTCTCCCAATCCTCCTCTTCTTGCGATTCTTCATCACTTATTACATTGTCTTCTTCCTCAGCCGACTGTAGTAATATTCGTGGTCTAGAAGTAGGTTTGGTTCCTAGAATTTCGTCCATTTTTTCGAAAAATTCCCAATTTATTCTTCCTTTTCCAGATCTATTGTGGTCTAGGATTTCCCGGTATTTCATTTTCAATTTTTTTTATTTTGTCCTGGCATTGTTTTCCTCCCCGCAGTTCATATCCCTTGTCTGCTAATGTCGCAGACTCGAGTAAAGCCTGTGATTTTTCATCACTCCACAGATGAATTAATTCACTAGTTTCTTCGTAAGTCCAAACGGTACCTCGGGCAGCCATTTTAGAATGTAAGTATTGATGACGGAATTCCGCGGGAAACGGTCAAGGTCGCTTATGACGCATGCGCAGTAAACCGTTCTCAGAGCGGTTACAGTTTACATTACACATTTTTATGAGTCCGTTCTCGGAACCGTTCCGAGACCACCTCCCGGAGGTGGGTCAGAATTGGAACCGTTCTGAGAACGCTCGACCTTTTACATTACACAAACCATCAGAACGGAATATTTTTGTAATGTAAAAGGGGTTATTTATTAATGGTCATATAGGATAACAGTGTGGCATCCTGTTGCACTTTCTCCTGTGTTGAATATAGCTGTTGATG